GTCAAGATGAAACCAGACCCCCCCCCCCCCTAATACCCCGAGCCCATAAGAACACATCTTCAACATTCATGTTTACGTTAGCTTTTTTTAAAACTTTTTCTTTTTTTAATTTAAAAAAATTAAAAAAAAAAACACATTTTGGTGGGGGGGGGGGGGGGGGGGGTAATACAGATGAGTGAGTTGTGTAACTTGACAGTCAATGTGACTAGGGTTGGTGTTCTGATCTAAACATACGAGTTCGTTCTGTAACTATTTCACTTTGACAGGCAATGTGAATATGGTTGGTATTCTGATCAGAACGGCCGGGCCTATGAAGCCAGGATGATCTATGATCCGGCTAAGGGACACTGTCGACGGTACGTCACGTATTGCAGTGAATATGTACCCAATTTATTTGAAATGTGTAAGTATCGTAAGCGGAACGATGACAGCATCCTGGTAAACTCGCATGCTTTTACCGGACATTATGATTTCTCATATCACCAGACGTCAGTGTTCTCATTTTATCATAATTTTTTGGGCCTCGCGGTTAATAATATGTAAGAGTTCTCACGTCATCATGTCAGGGCCCTTGAGTACCGGGGGTAAAGGTTGTCATTTTATCGTGAGTTTAGACCTCGTTTTACCTTGAGACAGGGTTCTCATATGACCATAAGTCAGGGTTCTCATTTTATCACTAGTCAGGATTCTCATTTGATCACTAGTCAGGATTCTCATTTTATCCTAACTCGGGCTTCTCGGGTTATAAATAAGCCGAGGCACTAGTGTTGCCATAAGTCATGTCACTATAAGTCAGGGTTGCTTATGCTATCATGTGTCCAGATTTCACCATTCGGCAGGGTCGCCAATGGCTTGAACCCACATCTCTCTAACTACTATGATCACCAATGTCTACAATCATAAACATGGTGTACATGCATAAGCACGCAAGTAATTTTTTTTGTTCTGCTCTATGTTTCCTATATCCCCCAGCCGCCGGCTCAACTTTGAATGATGTCCTGATGCCAGTTTTACTCGTGTCACTGTTTCCATTTGACATGCTGTAGCTAATCCCCAGCCATACGTTGTGCTCTTCTATAGACAATGTTTTCACATAATTGTATCCAACAACATTTGATAACTTTGACACGTCACCTATATATATATATATATATATATATATATATATATATATATATATATATATTAAATATATATACTAAAAAACTTTCTTTGTTGTGTGGTATATAAGACTCGTCCCTGTATGCGTCCAC